AAGTAAGCTGCATAAGGGCCCTCCCTGGTGGTGCAGCGGGTTAAAGCATGACACTAAGAATTGAAAGCCACTTCCACATGAGTTCAATCTCCACCTGCCCCAGAGGTGACCACATGGCGCAGCAGACCTCTCCTAACCTGCCCGCTGCTCCCTTCATCGGTGTATTTCATCGATCTGTCTGTTCTGCTCTCCACTCTGTCTCTGGTGAATCCTCACGCCGCCCCTACACCTCTGGCCTGTACCCCAGTTCTTTATGCACAAATAAATCTTTTTTTTTTTAAAGTAAGGTGCATAACAGCAGGGAACTTTTTTCCTTCTCCCATTACAGTATCCACAATGCTTGATACTTAGGAAGCTCTCAGTAAATGTTTGTTGAATGAGAGAATGAATTCCAGTTTGTAGTGAGACCAAGTAGCAAAACTGGAAATGTTGTTAGTAAAAATAAGGTGTGATGTGGAATGTATCAGTAACTTAACACTGGCACCATTGATGATCAAGTCAAAAATCTTGCTGCTATTCTCGACTCCTCTTTTCATTCAATAGATCTAATATGTCAGGTCTTCCAGAACCTATGTCTTCTCTATCAGTTCTTCTCTATGGCACTCTTTTCATAAAGTAGTGAGGCAGACATTGGGTGAATAGAAGGAAGTCTATGCAGATGACTGCTGTTGGTATATTCAACTTGTCTTAGCTGAATGCACAACTCGTCCCTCCCTGTATCTTGCCACAGGAGTGTTCCATGGTTTCTCATCCATACTTTTCCACCTTAGGTATGATGTGGTGACTTCCAGTGTCTGTATCAATCAGATTAGGCCTTCCATTTCTTGTTTCATTTCTAGTGCTTTCTTTCTTGTTCTTCATCTTTTGTCTTTGAAGTCTCTTTGGTCCTCCAACATTTGACTATTGTCTCATCTGTAGTTTTTTTTTTTTTTAAAGATTTATTTATGCATGCATGCAGAACTGGGGCACAGGCCAGACGTACAGGGGTGGTGAGAGGCTTCACCAGAGATAGAGAGGGGAGCAGAACAGGCAGATCAACCAAGTACACTGCTGAGGGGAGCAACGCCGGGTCAGGAGAAATCTATTGTGCCATGTGGGTCACCTCCGGGGTGGGGATCGAACTCATACTGAAGTGGCTTTAGCTTCTCAGTGCTGTACCACCAGGGAGGGCCTTCATCTGTAGTTTTTAAGAGGCCTCAATATGATTCAGTATTTTTCCTTGTTTTAGCATTCTTAAATGCTCATGTTTTAAAAATGCTACCTTAGTATATACATATGTTGTATATACCTCTATTATATTACACACCATTTACTAGCTTATATTTAGTTGAGTAAATGTTCTCAGAAATGTGTCCAGTTTTTAGCATTACTTGAACGTTCTTTCGAAGGTTCGAAACAGATGACCAGTGAGGGTTGTAGATGTCTAAACATAAAACAAAAAGGTAAAATTAACAAGCCATGAAAGTCCATGTTAGTCTTATCAGCAGCCACTGCCCACCTTTCACTGTCGGCATGTGGCAGTTAGCAGGTGCGTTGTGTGCCTTGTCTGGAGCTTGTGCCTTCCCTGGCTCACAAGTGCGCCCACTTAGTTCATGGAGAAACACTGTGAACATGTTGAGTCTATAAAGTGCATAAGCAATATTAAGACTGTAGATTTTGTGCACTAACAGCCTCATTCTTTATTAATCAGATTCTACATTTGCTGTGTGTTCACCTACCATGAAGAACCAACCTTCATACTTAGGCCTGGAAATAAACTCAGTTTTACTACTTATGGACTGAGTCTCCGTTTCTACCATTTATTTTTTAAAATGGGGTCAATGGGTCTATCTCTTAGGGTCGTTGTGAGAATCACATGCCTAGCACTGTGTTTCACTGTTTAAGAAATGCTTTTGTTATAATCATAGTTTAGCTATAATGTTTACTATGGGAATTTGCATGCATGCACAAAAGTGGAGAAAAAGTTTATTGAATCCCAAAGTAACCAGCTTTAACAGTTATGCACCCCTGCTAACATGACCAGAGTATTTTGAAATAGATCAAAGGTTTCCTATCATCCATCGATAAATATTATATGGACTTCTGAAAGACATTCTTTAAAAAGTATGACCATAGGGCCCTCCCTGGTGGCACAAAGGGTTAGAGCATAGCACTGCAAGCTGGCTGCAGCTGCTTCAGTGTGAGTTCGATCCCCCGCCCTGGAGGTGACCCACAGGGCATGGCAGACCTCTCCTGACCC